ATATCATACATTTTGATAGCCTGGAAGACAAAATCAACGCAGAACTGCATCAGCTGAAGTTGCTACACTTAATAGTAGTACACATTAGAAAGTGAATATATCTGCACCATCGTGATAAATTTTCAGCATTCACATCTAGGGTCCTCAAACACTGACTCCTACCGTCTCCAGTATCTGGGATGTGTCGGTCGCCAATAAGTATGCCAGTGTTCCAGAACCTGTCGAAAGGTGAAAATCTGATCGATGCAACCTCATCCAGCAATGATACCTGACTGGTTTTCTCGAGCTTTAGTTAGGCGTCAGATAAATAAAGACCCTATGACCTTGGACACAATATTAGTCAATTCCCCTAAGGGTGCCACAAGACTTCTTTGCCTCCTTATAGACTAGTATGATTAATGACGTACACCAGTCTGACGGCAATACCTCTGATTTCCATACACTACTTAGCACCTCCGTCAATCTAAAAAGCAGTTTCCTACCTCCATCCTTGAAAGCTTCAGGTGGCAAACTGCTCTTCTGCATCATTTCAGGTTCGATACAGCTTTCTTAACTTCAAGGAGATTTGAAGGAACAACATCTATGTTCCATTCGCATTCAGGCTGGTTGGAGGGCCAGTTGAACTGTGCTTCAAAGCGACCTGTCCAACTTTATAGCAGTATTTCCCTAAAGGTTATCAGTGGTCGGTGATGGATTCACTCACTATCGTCTTCCTTAAGAAGCCTAAGTAGTTACCGAGCGTCAACTAACGTTGATGCCTACTCCATCTTCCTCCCTTTCGTCACCCACCACTGCTACCGACCAACGCGAAGACTCTTGAACAGTTTATGCTGCTTTCGCCCCTCACCGCTCTTTCTATAGTAGACTTGATATCACGCCAGATTTCCTCAGAATCACCATTCTTATCACGCTCAGATAAGTGCTTAGCTAACTCCTCTCTATATGCGTACTTGACGTTCTCATCTTTCAATTGAGCACAGACAGGATATATTGTCAATTATTTCCTGCATACGGTAAGGTGCAGATATACAAAAGCCAATACTAATGCGTGATTGGAGTTTGAGTTGGCACTCCAGAAAGAGCGGCAATCCTCCACCGATGACTTAATAATGGTAGTTAATTTTCATTTTACCACTATCCAACAGACCTACACATTGTTCTAGAATGCTAGTGCAATGTCTAATATTAGTTTGGAATCAAGATCTTCAAACTTTTTTTAACTATGTACTATATAATAAATGTTGAACATCAAGTTTTGTACTTTCAATTTCGTAGGAACTCCGTTTTCCACTGGATTTTCCCAGTGTATAACCCATGAATCCGTTCATATGAAGCTTACCGAACAACAGTAATACCAAAAGATTGAGGGGGAAGAAAAGTGCAAATGTGCCGTATGAATCTTTTCCAAAAAAAGTTACATAACAAATAACCATTTTGGTTAACATAAACTGAATTTGCAGAAAATATAGAAGTTGATAAGAAATCACTAACTGTATAGAATGGTATTTACAATCCTTGAATAATAAACAAAAGGTAAGAATTTGGCATAAAAAAGAAAAATCATTCTAACTGTAATCTAAAGTTTTATGATCAATAAGAATATTCAATCATTACTGGTTACTTCGTCAAGTGAATTTCGTAAGTCACACAACAATTTTTATGCATGAAAGTACTATTTATTATCATTTCAGTAACATAATTATGATAAACGTCTTCTTTCTCTCATCAAATAATTCATTAGGAGTAAAAAATATAAAAGATCATGGAAAAACAGTCCAGAACAAAAGATGGAAACTCAGACAGGACCTAATTGTAGAATGATATATTTAGCTTCAGCGTAAAGATTATTTCATGCTTAATATGATAAATTATTTGCACTAAACATGACGAGTTGACCATTCACAGCTCAAGCATAGACCAAGTTGTTGTCAAGCTAAATTCTGTAAATAGAATGATTACTTTTTATCAAAACCACTATGGAAAACAAAGATGCTGATCTATATATCATGATCTGTATTTATTGGAAAGGGTTGTACCTCTTCTTGTTCATCAAATACTTCGTCTAAACAATCTAGTCATACCGCTCCATGATGTGTAACTTGAATACCTAAAATAATCCACTACATTGCTAGTAAGATACCTTTTTCAGTGAAATATTTAGATCTAGTGTTTAAAATGAATTTAAGTGCAATTCAATGGTAAAGTGATCATTCGGAAATTGTACTAATAGAACGAATATGAATAATTCTCTAGACTAGTTCAAGATGGTGATGAAAATTGCTCATCCCCTTGGATAATGATACCCAGTTTCATCCTATAATCTCACTTATTCTTTCGTCGTTTCCTTTATCAACAGTCATTCCTCCTCTACCTTATGTGGATGTAAACACTCTCATCACAAGATAGACTTGATTTTATTTGGTCACCAATAGAGTTCATACTTTATAATGTAATAAGCTCAACATTTTATGATTATAAAACCGCCACTCTCCTTACTCAATCAAAAGTTTGCATTTCCACTAACTTCTTCTAGGTTCAGAGGAATAATTCAAACTGGGTCATGTAAATTTTCTGCCTAACTGCAATTTTTTTCTCCAATATTGCAGCCTTCAGTAACTTGTTACGTAATCATCTGCAGAGATGGTATAAGATGGTTAACCTAATACCTACCACCATCACAAGTGGTTCTTGAAATTAATTTGGTGTTTTTAAAGTAACATTATGATAAGTAAAAAGTTTCACTTGTTGACCCATTCTATCTTTTTATCCCTTCTTTTTTATTCAAGATCTGTTTCATTCAGTTAATTATTAACAAGAAAGAAGTCACTGACTTTATTTTATTTTGCTTTTATTCTGAAAAATGAATGACATTCATGCACAGCTTATAAGAAATACTGACATATTGAGGCAATGAGTGAAGGAATGAGCAATCTTATTAAAACATCATACATCCCATAGTGTACGCATACCAATACAAAGAAAAAATGTTTTAACTTGATGCAAGCAAAATTTTAGACTACATATTCAGAAAATGAAGTAGATGAAGAAACGTTATGATCAACGGCACACTGCGTACATTTCTTTTTCCTTTCTTTGCTTTGAACAGTAGGATTTTAGCCTAATTTGCATAGTTAATGTCAAAGAAATCTGCCATAAAGGTTAGTGCTTTATGATATCGACTTTATGTGTTTTAAAGCATTCACATAGTAAATGTTTGACTACACACTGACGAAAAGTCAAAAGACAGACAAATCAAACTTGGATCTCGTACAACAGAAATACCCTGGTTCATATTCCTATACATCAGAACGGCAGAAAACGAAAATTGAAAGATATTTAGGTGGAAAAGAGCATAAGAGAAAAGAAGATTAATAAATAGGCCCACGCTAACAAAATCAATGCAGAACCCCGTACAAGTGCATCACCTCAAGTTGCAACACTTCAAAGTAGTACAAAAAAACCAGGTGGATAAAACAGGAATGATATCTAAGCAGTGTGAGAGAATAAACAATTTGAAGGTAATGGTTAGTGCTAATAATCAAGCTTTACAAGATATCATTGTGACTGATTTTCAAGCATGTCATCAATAGTCCTCAACCACTGCTTTCCCTTGTCTCCGAGACCCCAGCCAAGTAGTCTACACCTCCCCTGCATGACTCAGAACAACAGTAAGAGACTTCATCGACTGATACCAGGGTTTGGTCTGGCCACCCTGATTCTTCTTCCGATCTGATTCAACTTCCCCAAGCATCATGGCACATCGAGGTAGGTGGTGGGTTTGCATGCACAGTACATGTTGAAGCCACTTCAGTCTCTTAAGGTTGACAACCTCATCAATCAACTTTCTGGTTTATCTTTCCTAGTGTCCGTTGCCCGACCTCAACATTGCTAACACGGTGATTGCACGAAATGCGACGAATGCTACGAAGACATCTGTGATCAAAACCATATATTCGCTTCATATGAACAGATTCAAGATTTTGATGTGAGGAAGTAAACACATTTGAACGACTGTAGTTGATTTTGCAAATAATACTAGATTTCAAGTCTTAACAGCAGGCAACGCGAACTTCTCTACATGGCTCAGATTAACAGTCAAACTTCCCTTTCGCCTTAGCGGCTGAGAGTATATTTCTATGATGACTCATTGATTTTAGTCCATACCGAAGTACTTTATGTATTTTCTCTCATGTGAAGTACATCTAACCCATGTATTCACACCAGCCGCTTCTGGAAGATAAACAAATTTATTTGCACGGCGTACGATTTCTAGTCTTGCCAATATTATTGTTACTAGCATACCTTGAAATAACAACTTGGAGCATACAACGCCTACTATTAATAATAAGTATGAATAAGCTGGGTAGGACAGTATTCTTTAATACATGAATACTTGAACTTATTGGTTTAAGCATTTGATTCTGAACTAGTGGGTCAACAGTTCGAATCCTGTGCCACATAAAGACATACAGGCAGCCAAGTAGTATCATAAGCTCTCACACACACAACAGGTATATTTTACTCCCTATTCCACGAACTTCCAAGTCGTTGATAACAATGCTTATATTTACCCAGAGAAAGATACAATTCTTTGTAACCAATCATAGATTTGAGAATAAAATATCGCAGGTTGCGTTTATCAGTGCGAAAGTTAACATTCCTACCGGGTCTTTCAGAACAAGGCGAATCGAATGAGTTTTCAACCTATGGTTTTCGACCACGAATGCTACGGAACTACATCTTCACCCGTATCTAGTAGTTAGTAATTTATAGAGTTAAATATAGATCTCACACTGGACTGATCAACAATACATGGTGTAACACAGTTGTCTCTAGAAAAACACATTCACTGGAAAAGAAAAGATGTTACGTAAAAAAATTTCTTAATTAAAAGTTTGATACAGAATAAAATGATACATGCCAGATAGTTAAAGTGACCTCAGCCATGACAATGATAATATTGTGTAAATAATGATGATGACAGTAAGATACAACTAACACTAGAAGAATACACGTTCACTTGCTGTCGCCTCCAGAAATGGTGATATTGTAGCTGAGCTAACAAAATAAAATAGTATACCACATGCTATAGATATTGGTAAGGCTGGTAGTGCTTGTCGCGTTATCCCTAACACAATAATAGTTAAGCACATTCCAACTAATATGGCAACATAACACGTGACCACAGTCACAGCATCACCGTCTAGTGTTGCACGACCAATAAGAAGACTGTAGAACACAAAATCACCTAAACCAAGTTTTACACCTTTCGAATCACGATCAATTAAATCTGCCTATTAGGGAAAGAGAGAGAGAAAGAAAGGAAGAGGAATGAGAAAAAAGCAAGATGTAAGGTATGGAGACAAATTACAATTGGAATAAAGTAGAAATTTAAAACATTTCTAACGAGTAACTTACAATGGATTACTTGAAAAAGAGTTATCAGGGCATTCCTATGTTTGTCTCAGTAAATAACTACTTATATTTTACTGCAATTTTAACAATCTATATCACTGCTGTGATATACACTAGTCCAGTAAGAAAATACTACTGGAGAGATTTAGGTTCTCCGTCTCATTCTGAAATTCGATAACTGTGTGCTTAGAAAGTCTCGAAGTGGTGTAAAACGTCAACTCAATGCTCCTAACTCATCATTTAACCTGAGATCTAGGTACTATGACAAAATAAAGTAACGTGTTTGGATTAGTAATCATATCACACAATCTTAGGCAACTCAATTATCACGGTTGCGACTTGCATCCATTTTTGGATGGCTGGTCCTACTACTACTACTGCCTAACTGCAAAAGTTGTAATAGGCGAGCAGGGATTCGAACTCGTAACCAAAAGGATGACAGTCAATTTTGTACGCTTCAAGGAGATAATTTCAAATTAATGCTAAAACCATCATAACGGGATGTGTCGAAATTTTATTGAGTTTGAATACCGTAGCGGATATTTGTTTACTGCGATGAAACAAGTCTGGTCAACAGATACGCATACATCAGTACGGTTATACACTGTACTCTTAAAATACACGAATCTGAATCCATGGGTATTCGTAAAGTTCATCACTTATACTAGTTCATCATTCTTTTACATTAAAAAAAATATCCAAAACAATCTTGAAAGCTTAAAATGGAAAACATTGAACTAGTTGTTTCGTCGACAGAGTTATGGTGAGTGTTAATTGATAAAACATAACTCAGAATCGAACAATTAACAATGAATTATACAAAATTCATGAACGTAATATAAGCTATTTCTGCAAACTTTTCTACACACGAACTACCAAATCAGCATGACTCAAAAACAGAAGACGGATCCCGTTTGGTGTCAATCGGATTGATGTTCACGGTCAAAGATGTCTATGTTTATAGGTTTCATAAATGAAAAAGGTAGATAAAAGCGAAATTCAGGATTCCGGAAAAGGTTCAAAACTCTCACAACGATGATCAAAAGTAACTTAATTGATGATGTTTCTAAGCAAGTGTTGGAATGTAATGGTACGTCCTATCACACAGAGTACCAGTAATTCAGAAGAACAAGACCATAATCTGTCCGTATAAAACCGCACGATGAAAGAGTATTATTTCCTACATCTTAACTAAGCTGAAAAACCATACATTTTATAGAAAGGGAGAGGACAACCACTAAACAGTTTCATTCGCTTTTCTTGACATATAAACACTAATGATCTTCCAAAGGAATTTACAACAAAATTAAGGTATGAACAAGTCTGAATTAAATGAAATGGTTTTGTAGTGAAACTGGTAATGGTATATTTATTCAGGACTCATCGGTTACACATACTTTCATCTTGGTCAGTTTTGCAACTGAGATTATAGACTCATCATTCAAATACAAAATGCCTGAATATTATTCACTGGGCTACCTCTATTATTAGGTTCTTATGGTAACACCTTATTCAAAGTGGCTCAAGTTTTCTGTTGGTGAACTCAAAGGACTGAACTGATCAGTTTGTTGCATCATCAACTCGGTTCAACCGTCAGACATAAGATATCGTGAAAAACAACACTAGGTCATCTGAAAAAGGAACTCATTTGCCAGAAGAAACTGATCAATTCAGTTCTTTGAAGTAAAATTTGGATAAATTTAAGTTAAAGTAACCACTAAATCAGTTTACTTCTTTTGCCAAAACTAAGAGACAGTATACGAACAGTGGTAATATCGAGTATACTTCGCAGACTCCGTAGGAATTAGACATGTCTGTATGAAATAATAAATATTATTTTCATAGGCTTCTATACATCTAATAAAGGAGGCGAAATATAATCACATATTTCATGGAAATCAATTCCACTTCGAACCATTCAACAACAAGGATATAACCAAATCTTGTGATCACTTCGGTAGTTGGGGTGGAGTTCGAACCCCTGACCCACTAGTTGTATTTCAATTGTCGAAATCAATGTTAAAAGATATGCATCAAAGCATGTATATTATTAAAGATAAAAGCCTATTTCTGTGAACAAAATGAATAGTCTTAATGTGAAACAGTGACCATCATTCTAACAGAAATTACAGTGCATTCATTCACTATAATTAAAATGTAGAATAAAAGCACACTCAACAACATACTTGGACCTCTCGCCAACGATCAACTCGACTCCTGACAAGTGTATCAGTTTCACACGGTACCCCTGAATATGATTCATGATTATGACCATCACTATCACTATTATTGTTTACATTTTCACCACATGTATTTCCATTCTGCATACTAGTTTCACAAGTCTAAAACAATTCAAAAATCAATGTGATATATATATATATATATATATATATATATATATATATATATATATATATTCTATGAAGTTAAGAAAGCTGTCTTTTTTACAAGAGAATTGATGGGAAATGCTGCATAAAGATCTCCCAAGTCATCTGAAGCAACTATTCTTGGAATATGTTGGTCAAGTTGTCGGCTAAAGAAAAAAGAAACAAGTGTATATTTTCGAAGTTTGGAGAACCAAACTCCAGAGATAAGACTTCCTCCGAACCCTTATCGGTATGTCCTCACTTTTTCCAATGTTGATACTGATATGATAGCTCTAGAAGTATTATCTTTGGGTCCTCATTTTTGTGATAGTCATATTATAGCTGATACGATAGGTACTCAAATCCAGTTTGAAAACCTGTACACAGATAGATTTCTCACATTCTTAAAATGATGAGATGGAAAGATCGAAGTCTAGTCTAGTTGACTGTTGCTACAACTAAGTTTTCTTGAAAAAGACATTCTTTCTCAAATATTTTTGACGTTTTTGTTTTAAAGAAAGAGACTCAAGAAAACTCTACATTACACTTGTTCTCTCCACATATCAAGATGCCTAGAATGGCGTCAAACATGAAAACATGTCTAGCGATGGAATTTCACCAGTCAGAAAGAATTCGACATACCAACCTAGTTATTCTGCTTACGAGTAAACAGAACTAAGTCCTCATCTTCATCAAGATCAACATAGGACCAGGCATTACTGAGTACCAGTCCAAGTTGCCAAACCGCATATCAGTACATCAAGAAACAAGACAATAAAATAAAAGATGAAGAAAGACAAATCGGTCAAAGGAAGCAGAAAGTAGTAATAGAGAAGGAGGAGTGGGAAAATAATGAGCTTAAGTATAGCGGCTAAGATGAGAATAATGTGTGCATCCATATGCATCTGCGCCACTGACGTCGGTTCTCAGTCATATCACCTAGAGTTTCCAATCACTGGTTTCTCTTGTCCTGCAGACCCTGACTACCTAGTCTGCATCACCCCGCATGGCTCAAACCAATGGTTAATGACTTCATGCATTGATGCTATGTTTTAGTTTGGCCGCCCCGAGGCGTTTTCTAGCCTGAACCTACTTCGTTCAACATAGTGTGACGAGGCAGACGGCGACTAGGCATACGCAACACGTGTCCCAGCCATCTCAGTCGATCAAGGTTCACAACCGCATCAACTGTCTTAGCTATCCTCTCCCTATAAACTCTACGGAAGACTTCTGCGTTACTCATGTGGTAACATCACGAAACACGGCCTATGCTAAGAAGGCAGCGATAGTCAAACACCCTAAGCATTCTCATGTCCTCTACCTTAAGTGGCCACTTTTCACGGCCAGTACACACGACCATTAGACAATCGGATATCGTAACGGCGCCACAGATCGCGTAGATGCTGAAAGCGAAGTGAGCCTTTTGCATCTGTGAAGAGATCTCGTCGACCACTGACCAAAGCACCAAGGCTGACCCGACATCCCATGTAAGTGAAGTCTTCAACGCGTACAACCACTTCACTTTACTATTAGCCGGAGCACCGTTGAAGGCCAGTCGTAGAGCAACATTTTGCACTTCGGTAGCGAGAAACGCATCCCAAACATTCTTAAACTGCCGCTCAAGGTGTCCAGAAGACACTATATCTTGTAAGCGTCTTCGCCCAATAGGAATATGTGGTCTGCATGTTTTACGTCTACCAAAAAGTCCCCTATGATCAGAGGACGACAGGGAAGCCTCCATAAGAACGCCTATGATGAAACTGAATAGGAATGGGGAGAGTAGGCATCCTTGACGGACACCATTCGAAGTACACAACTCACTTGATATCTTACCATAAGCTCTAACACGCCCGCAAGTGTTCGAGTACAGAGCCTTCAATAGGGTGATGTACTTACTCGGCACCCCTCTTAATGAGGCACTGCCATGAGACTTCTCGATCAACGGAGTCAAATGCCGCTTCCAGGTCGAGAAATATAGCTATTATCGGGCGTCGTGTCGGTAAACGTACCTGTGTTCCAGAACCTGGTCGATACATCCACGGCCAAGTCTGAAGCCTGTCTGGTTTTCTCGGGCTTGTTGTTCACGATCTCCACTCAAGCGTCTAATGATTATAGAACCTACAATCCTAGATACTACGTTCGTCAAGCTGATTCCTCTGTGGTTATCACAAGAGGACATCTCGTCTTCCGTGAAGACTGAAATAATCAGTGATTGAGACCAGTCAGAGTGGATCATATTTGACTTCTATACACTAGTTAATACTTCAGCCAACTAAGCGTATGGCTATCTGTCCCTGGTCAGAACCTAAAGTACCAAAGTATAAGCCTTTTTCAAACAAATGATGAACTTCTTCAGCAGAAAACGCATTTCCTCCGGCAATTCAGTTGGCCAACAAAGTAGTAACGAATACGTTGATTAAAGTCTTTCTAGTATTCTAGTAAACACAGGGTACAAGATAAAAGCAGATGTGAATGACAAAATAACAATAATCAAATGACACTACTCATCAGAAACAAGCCTCGATAATCCATAGATTTATAATAGAACAGAATAAAATCCGATAGGATATCAGTTTCGTGCCAGTAATAATTTTAATTTATTGAAGATAGAAACCCATAAACCAACAAGAACAAATGCAGATAATATTAATTATTAACATCCTTAGTGATGAACCTCACCTAGTTTACTAGTTCACTAGTTACTAGCCGCTCCTAAGCCCGGATAAACAGGATAAACAGGCAAGGTTGGGCATAGGGCTGCCAACCTACCCCGTAAAACCAATCAAATCCCTAAAGAAACCACAAAACACAGACAAAATACAAAAAATAAACTTATTCCTCTCTGGAATCGAGGAGACGGAATGACGCCGGTTGGTGAAAACTCTCGGAAAGCCAATTAGTCAACGTGTCTTCTCTCTCTCTCTCTCTCGATGAAAACAAAAGTAAGTATGGGGACATGGAATATCTGCACAATGTTTGAAGCTGGTTGGCAAGGCTCCCCAAATTGCAGAAGAGATGAGAAGATATGGCATAGATGTGCTAGGAATCTGAGAAAGCATATGGGATGGAAGTGGACTCTCCAAACTGTTAACTGAAGAGTCAATAATCTACTCCAGTACTGTCACCCAGACGACAACCACGATCACACTGAGTTCTGGAGTGGCTATCATGATGTTCCCTCCCAAGAACATCAAAGGCTCTCATACAGTGCGAACCAGTCTCCTCCTTCAGGATCAGGATCATGACAGCAAGATTCAAATCAAAAGGAAGGTAAGTTATAATCATTCAATGCTATGCTACACACCTACAAATAATGCGCATCAAGAGGCGAAGGAGGAATTCTATAGACAACTGCAATCAGTAATAGACAAGACCCCACCCACCCCAGATGGAGACATCAATGGTGACATGAATGCCAAACTGGGAGAGGACAACACAGGAATCGAAGTCATCATGGGTCGAGAGGGACTCGGTGAAATGAATGAGAATGGGGAACTGTCTGCAGACTCCTGCGCATTTAGTGATTTGGTGATTGGAGGCGGTGTGTACAAATATAAGGATATTCACAAAGTGACATGCAGTTGATTTCACCAGACACTAGGACACACTAAAAATCAGTTTGATTTCATCTCAATCTCAAGAGAGTGGAGACGCAGCTTATTGGACACAAGATCAGATGACGAAGAGGAGATGTAGGTTCAAACCACTCACTATCTGGTGCAACGGGCCTTCTAAATCAAGTTGGAAGCCTTCAAAGAAGCTGGTGGTGGTAGACAACAGTTGAAGTTCAACACCCAGAAACTGAAAGACAAAACTACAAAGGACATCTTCACATCGACAGTTATCAAGACAAAATGGGAGACATTGAGCAACATTTCTGAAGGATTGGGCGTGCAAGAACACTGGAACTCTTTGAAAGGGATGTGGAAAGAAACCTGAAAAACCGTATTAGGAAGGAAGAAAAAACAGGACGGGGGACACATGGAAGCTGACAGATGAGAGGAGGATGGTGAAGCAGAAGTTGAATTAGTGCAGGGAAGAACAACGAAAAGAGGATCTGAACACAACGTATAAAATACTACACTGCACAAAGAAGAGAAAAAGAGTGCATGGAAAGACAAAGGACATCTCTGTGACTCACTTGCATCTGAAGCAGAACAGGATCCAGGTAAGAAAGACCCGACAACACAGTATTAAATAACCACGTTACTATCTGGGAAGATATGAAAGATAATGAAGGAAACTTAGTTAACACTAAAGAGGAGAAACAAAGAAAACGATGGGTCGACCACCACAAAAACTCCTGAATCGACCTGCACTTGTAACTCGTACAGAAATACCACCAGCAACGGCCGAACTACCAGTGAACACAAACCCTCCGACAAAAGCAGAAGTCCTGAACGCCGTAAAGTCACCGAGAGCCAGGAAACCAGCAGGTCCGCTATAAGCAGTGAGAACAGACGCAGAGACAACAGCGGACATGCTCACACCACTACTGCAGGTTTGTAGGGAAGGAAGGAAATGTGCCGGCCGACTGGAAGAAGGGCTACCCTATCAAACTCACAGAAAAGGGAGGCCTAAGCCTTTGGGAGAACTGGCGCGGAATCATACTCATATCCACCTCAAGTAAAATGTTAGGCTGAATCATCCCGGAGAGACTAAAACATGCTCTGGATTCAAAATTACGACCGGAACAGGCTGGCTGGCTTCAGGAAAAACAAATCATGTGCAGATCGAATTGCAACGCTACGCTAGGCGAAGTAGCGAAGATGGGACTTCAAGTGAACGTAGATAAGACAAAGGTGATGAGGATACCCAACCAACAACAACAAGTACCAATCACCATTAACGGGAATAACCTAAAGGAAGTTGTCTCTCTCACCCATCTAGGCAGCATCGTTTCAACTACAAGCGATGACACAGATGAGGATGTCAAAGCCAGGATCGGAAAGAAAGCAAAACACGTCTTCATTAACCTGAAATCAGTGTGGAGATCAACAGCACTCAGCATAAAGCGTGAACAAGATTCGGATTTTTAACACTAATGTCAAGTCAGTGCCTCTATTTGATGGTTGAGAGACTTGGAGCGTTACGAAAAGCATTTCCAACAAACTACAGATACTCATCAACAGCTGCCGCCTAGGTTCACTCGATGCCGAAGATCAGATGGCCAGAAAGAATGAACAACAAGGAACTCTGGCTGGCTGCCAACGAACTAACCAAGAACCCATCGCCCAACAAATATGCAGAAGAAAGTGGAGATGGATTGGGTTGAACATACATTGGGAAGACCGTTTGGGGACATCACGCGCCAGGTCAGGCTGTCGAGTGGAATCCAAACGAGAAATGACGGGTTGGGCGTTCGAGGGTGACATGGAGAAAATCGTGTGAAGAAGAAATGAAAGCTTCTTGGCAATGGTGGAGCCAGGTTCGAAAGACTGCTGCGAACAGAGTGAAATGGCGACGTGCTACTGAAGCTCTATGTTCCACTAGGAACCTAAGGCACAAATAATAATAATAATAATTTTTAGTGATGAGACAGCAGGTGACGACCAACTCATTTGAGGATTCATCAGACTTCTATTATTTTAAACACTAACTGATAAAAAACTAGAGTAGTTTTTCGCATTATAAAGTTACTATCCAGAAAAGAAAACCAAGAGATATAGTCAATAATAAAAGCAATATGACTTGTTTTTACTTCTAAAAACAAAAGTAAAAAGAGTTTTTCTGCCCACCTCTAACGGCAGAAACACAGGTGCAGATTAAATTTCTGAAAAAGAAGGGCGCCAATGTCAATAGTATCATATAAACTTTTAGACCATCTGCATCGAGAAGTTTGTTAATTTTCATCAATTTCAGGCATCACTTATAAAGATCCATTGATAAACTTCGAGAATTTACTACTACAATGACAAATATCTTGAAAAGTAATCTCTTTGAGAAGTCGAAAAGATAGTGTGTATCATTTGAAAAATATACTTGGGTTAATCGTAGGAGGAATTCGCACTGACTCTATACTGGTCACAACTATCAACCGAAAGAAACAGCCAATAGAAACGAAATGGATTGACGATCGTTCCACTCCAGCATATTGAAGGAATTCAGCTTATACAGACACATGTCCGGTTGGAAATATTTTCCCTTTGGATATTTTATAAAAGGAACTGCATCATAAAATTAACATAAACTTTGTGGGATAAAAACGAAAACTCAAAGTGCACGTGACACATAGAAACCTCAAAATTGGAATTTAAAATATTCATCTTGAATACGGTCATACGAGGCAGTTCTACAATAAAGATAAAAGTAAACACCTCAAATCTTGACACCTTTACCACATCATTAAAGGTATGGTGAAATGAAGACCTTCTGAGTTCGTAAGAGGGAAAATAAAATGGACAACGGAATGATAAGTCAAAGTTAATTATGCATCCCTGAACATAATAAACTGTATGAAAAACAAAGGCGTATGTTCAGAAGGAAATACTACAGAAGGAATGAATGTGACAGCTAGCAGTACAGCATAGAGCAGAAGACAACAGACCAATAAACTAAGTGGAATAAAAATAAGTTTGACAAATGCTTTGTTTTACCAAGTAGTTATTATCCAACGAGACAAACTATGACAAAATTGTTTAAAACTGATCATGCTACTTATTGTTGAAAAGTAGTAACATAAAAAACAAAAGATGAATGAGGAAGAATTACAGCAACAATACAGAAGTTAAAAAAACGAATTTTTGCAGGTTTGCTGAAAGTATTGTTATACAATTCATGCTAAAGACACAACCAAATTTATTAAATACATAGATCGATCGATGTGAAGTTATGCGCAGAAGTGCACCAGCTTAAGTTGTTATATCTCACAATATCGTGGAATGAGAAACGGGACGGAAATAGAGTGATATCAAAATCAACTAGATAGAAAAGGAGGGAGATAAGCTCAAGAAGGTTAATAGAGTGTTTAAGGTGCCGAATATGATAAAACGGAGACATCAGCACCACCATGGTCTGCTTCCAGTGGGCTACTGAGAGCTTGTGATCATTGTAGTATGTCACCTCAAGGATTCCAGTTACCGCAGCCTACATTGTCTCTAACGGAAGCTCATAGTTCAGCAGTAACTTAGACTACAGAAAGTCATCCTTCCTCCTTTTTCCAAAAAAGTCATATTTTGAGAGGAAATCAACGGAAAAGGAAACAATGAAATCTACAAAATCTTAACTCTTTTATTCGGCACTCTTCATCTTTTTTAGCTAAGATTTTACCCTGACATCATTTGTATGCTTCCAATTCATGTTACTTACTATTAGTAAGTAGTATGGTTCATACTCTTATCATTATCGCCTGAGTGTTCAGTGAAACACCAGAGTCGTTGCAACTGTTTGACTGACTTCTTATCATTTCAGTCAACTGATTTTGCTTCTACTCTCTTTTTCTTCTAACAGAAATGTACTGTCTCACGTTTTATATTTTGATGCTTGGTCCCTATTATTTCGCCAACCCTTTTCTTTGTCAAATGCCTCTCTTGGAGTGGTTTTTAAGACTGATTGTGGTATATTATATGACAATCAAGTGCTGTTTGCATTTGTGTGCAGTTCATTTAATATCCTTGGAAATGTGATTAACTATTAATCAATTCACAATTCGAAATTAATCCTTTATTACTTTGTATTTTTACCACGATGTGTTTCCGACCAGTCTAGTGATTTTGATTTTGAGATTTCACGAGTTACTGGAATCTTTGGTTTTGAATTTGTTGCATAATATATCTACAGGCAGAATGAACCTAAAAATTTGAGTCACTAGCAAATAAAATCATATGCTTTTAATAGTTTGAAAACATTTTGTGCAAAAGTTGAGATTTTAAATCCCAGTCAACATTATTCGTAGTTTTTTTTTATTTATTGAAAACTCTAAGACATGTAAACGAGCATTTCCAATATGGTTTAACAAAAAAGTACGGTTATTTCAATAAAACCTACCAGATTTCACAAGTGAACTTGCATCATAGCGTACATCAATAGACTAAAGTGGAAAAAACAAAATATTAACTTACTTGGTAACGGCAGCAATGGAGTCCATGACACGCGTCCCACCTCATCTGGGACTCATCAGCTGGACACAAACCCAACTGAGTGGTGGCCTCCGGGCCAAGATTCGGACTCTACACCCACCCCTCCAAACGCCGAGGTGTCAACCACTAGGCTGTTAGAACATGAGAGACACCTCTTGTGCAGTTACTACTATTTATTGTTACTTGCAATTTCCCGTTGTTATTCCGGATCGAGTTAATCGGTATATAAGTTCCTACGCTTATGCCTCGATATTGTCCAATCAGTCAGCATGTTGTACCGGACTCGTCAGTTGGGTGCGTTATCCCGACCGGAACTCGAACCCAGTACTCACCGCTCAAACGCCGAAGCCTCAACCACTCCTCCAGTGAGGTACGCCAACCAACTCTTGTGCAACAGTTATTAGGTATTATTATTTCTTGATACGTGTAATGCTCCTTTGGAATACTGGATCGAATTGATGGATTTTACTGCTAGCCACCACCAAATAAATCATAACAATGAATATTGAAGCAATATCTAGGTATCCGCATAGAAGCCCATGTGCCAACAGAAGTCGACCAATTCGACCCAGTTAACACCGCGAAATAACAAGTATCAACAAATAATTAAAGTAGTTGACTGGTTTCTTTTCCCCCAATTTAGCATTTCGTGGTAAAAGTTTTAAAGTTGTTTATCCAACTCTAGTCACAGAGAGTGTTACGAATCCACTAACAAAGTTACCGGTACAAAAAACAACTGAGAAAGAAATTTAACTACTTAAATAACAATTATATAAGGATAAATTCGCATGATTCCGCTTTCCACAAGGGGAAAAATCCCGTAAAACAACACATATACATAAAACGGAAGATAACAATGTCTTACTTCATTGTTGTCTACATTTGTAGAGCTTCTAGAGTTCTCTGCCATTTGTTGACTGTCTCCTTAAAAAGGATGAAATTTTAAAGAAAATATAAAATAGAAGAAAAGTTAATGTGACAGGTAGATAAGATATTATCTGCATACAACAATTTGCACTCACTTTTCACTGAAAAGTGTAAACAGAAGTTAAAATTGTTACAAATAAAAGGATATAGAAAATGAAGCACTAGCCCGAAAAAAAAAATTCTTTTTGAAATATAAATATAAATAGGATTCGATTGACAGGAGAAATCAAATCAAAACATAATAATCTTGGTTATATTGTGTTCTCTGAGCTGGATTGTTTAATCGTGAAGCTTTCATCGTCTTTCTAGACGACATCTTCAGCACTAACTTCAGTATGAAGTGATCTGTCAATATCTCTCCGTGAGTGATTTAGTAGCTTGCCCTGACAGCTCACTTCATACTGAAGTTAGTGCTGAAGATGTCGTCTAGAAAGACGATGAAAGCTCTATGACCAAACAACTCAGCTCAGAGAACACAATACAACCAAGAATTTGAGGTAAAAATCATTGTAATTTCACTATTCAGTTGTTGGTGCTGGGGGAGTAATGTTCTTGAGGTCAAACAAAGAGAAGCGGCATAAAAAGTATGTTTGATAGCCGGCAAAAACCTTTGACCTATAAACTGAATAATTCGTCTAACTTTAGATGGCAGTTCATTGATGAAGACAGCTTTCTATGTTATAGTAGCTTAAAGCTAAAACAATCTTCTTACTTAATGAATTTTCAGAAAACCCTTTTGATCTTTAAAAAAGTTTTTTTCATTTACACTAAAAACGTTAGGAAAATAAAAATATTGATTGACTTCAAAGGCCAGCCTAGTTACTGCTAATTTAATGAATTACATCTCCATATTCTACGACAAACTACTTTCCTAGTGAAAATTCTGTAATTTGATTGGTTGCTCAACATATTTATTTGACCAACTTAAACCTCCTAAATAACATTGAAACCAGACTTATTCATACCAACTGCATTGTTATGATTTTTACCATTATCCCATAACCAAGTATATTTTTATAAAATTATATTCATAAGCAAACAGAAAATAGTGAATGAAGTTAACAGAACCTTTGAATATGGATAAGATTTGACTTGTGACACCATGAAATAGTTTTACACAACGTTTCACTTCGATTTATGTATTCAAGATTTTCTGCATCTTTAAAAGCTTAAATGCCCATACTATCAACAAAGACCATCTGTAAGAACTGTTGGAAACTCATGGGTTGTTGCCTAACGAACTTAGTCTCTTATCTTTATTTGTTTGAAAATCCGATTTCCATAGATAATAATATCAGAAGTATTATTCTATGTCTTCACTTGAAGTCAGAAAGACAAAGAAAGTCAACGTAGAAACATATACGAGTGCATTGAGTCTAGTTACCATACTTAACAGCAGCATGTAAAAAACAAATTGAAAGAGAGTGATCTCAAAGCAAACAAAGGTGTATAGGAGGAAAGAATTTTTTTAAAAATAAACGTTAATGAAAATGTCCAAGCTTTCGAAGACGCCAAGAAGAGTGGATACATGTGCGCCATTCTGACCGATTTGTAGGTTTTATCAAGAGTCTGTTCCTATTAGCTCAAGGACCCCAACCTTACTTCCTACACGACCAGACTGAGTTAGAGACTCCAAGGATTGGTGCGGCGTCTCAGTTTGACCACCTACAACCTTCGTCCAAACCAATCCTACTTCGGTTAACATCATATGTCGAGGTAGGCGGTGGCTTGACATGCGCAACATATGCTCAAGCCATCTCAGTCAACTTATAATGTAATATATTTAGCTTGTGTATTATTATTTACTATTTAAAATTTCTTTCAGGAGTCTCACAACAAGACGAAATAACTATTCATTGCACTCTAAAGCTCAATTTAAACTTGTGATGAAAATCACTTCGGAACTTTGTAATAATTATCAAAAACTTTATTTCAGTATTGTTTCACTCAACCTTTATTAGCTTTCGCGTCTGAAAGCAAATTAGGTGCTGATATTATTCGAATATACAGACTGTCACGATTCAGTTTACAATAAGTCAACTTGCAGTAACTCCGAAATCTCATATAATTGGTATCAACAATTGATAGCAAAAACCAAAAGAGAAACGATAAAGTTTATCAGCTGCTACTTCGATAGTGAGTACAATCGAAAAAAGTTTGGGCATTTATAGGATTTTCTGTGGTCACCTATAGGAATAACAAATAAAAATGCAATCTTCGAAGAATTGAAGTGAATCCCAAAGTATGGTTCAAAATTATCAAAATTTAGATTAAAATGATGAAAAATATTTGTAAGTTCAAGTTGGTTTTTTCTGAACAAGTGCGATACATGTGCTACTTTGAAAAACATTTTTTTTTAATCGAGAACGTCCATCTTTTCATTTGAACTCTAAACAGTTGAAGAAAATGATGATAAGTTTAAATCACTGATGTATGCATCATCTACTGTATAGGACATAACCTAAGATATACCATTATCCCACCACGGTTTAAGAGTAACATGAGTTAAATGCTATGAATACTTTTTATTGGGAAAAAGTTATGTATTCTATGCGTACTTTTGGATTTTAAAATCACAGATAAATACATAATGCCCATTGTGACATCGAAAATAAGCAATTCAGCGAAGAGGACTCTTTTCAACGAATTTATTCTCCGGTTGTACATTCAGTTACATATGACATTTAGAGACTGCAATCCATGAAGAACTTTAAATAATGAGTGATAGAAACAACAGTAATAATAGTGGTTACAATAATAAAGTTACTAGTTGATTGCGTAGAGATTGAATGATAATAAAAAGGTGCTACGTGAGATATTTAAACCGTTCGTGACTGACTGGCAAAATCAACTTAGAACCTCGTACACATATGCATCAGCTCAAGTTGCAACACTTCAAAGTATACAAAGAACAGATGGATAGAAAAGGAGTGATATCAAAGTAGATAAAGTAGTGTGAGAGAATAGACAATCTGAAGATAAAGATTAGTGTAAATATTCAGCTGTCCCTAAGAGTCCTCAACTACTGATTCCTTTCGTCTCGAGGACCACAGCCCGGCAGTCTTCCCACACAGCTTAGACCAACAGTAAAAGACTTCATCGACTGGTGCCAGGTTTTGGTCTGGACACTCTGAACCCTGTTCAAAACTAACCCAACCTTTCCCAGTATGGTATATGATGTATGTACATTACAAAGGAGTGAAAACATGGCAGATCTAATAAACAAATAAAGGATTAGATAATATGAATGAAGCACGTTATAAGAGACAAAATGTGATTTTTTGTTAAAATTTGCAACCATTAGAAAGATCAAGTGAAGTAACACCGGAAACTACTAAATGTAGAAATAACAGTGATAATGCTGACAAAAGAGTGCAGAGATTAATTAATCTGAAAAGGGTGAAAAGTCGAAAATACGAAAAGAAACAAAATAAGATAAATAAAGTTAAGGCCACGGTAAAGACAACAAGTAGTACGCACTTGCTTTGCACAAAGTCAGGCTTTAGTTCATGAATAGTGCGGACAGAACAGAATCTGTTTGTTTTCAAAGATGAAAACGTAAAATAATTGAGCGAACTCAATAAACAGCCCCAAAATTACCGTTTGGATCAGTTGATTGGTTTGGATCAATCAAGTGTTCAAGCATAGGACTTCTAACGCGTTTACTTTAACCCTTATAAAACCAGGCTGGTGTATGCTTTCGTTAACATGTTGACAAAAGTCTGTGACTACTGCTAATGTACCTTGCTTTGCAGAAGCAGATGAACTGTTAGACACACATGGAGGTGGACAGTCGAAGAATATTATCTTTTACACAAACAGAGAACAATTTACGGCTAGTAAAGACGAAACGAAATACAGCGAAAACTATTACTGAACACAACATGAGTGGTTACAAACCACCCAGGCTGATGTGTAGTAATTCGCCAGCCAGACACTTTTATGTCAGAAATGACACCTTGTGATCTCGGCTGAGTGGTTTCCAGCGGAAACTCTGTTGATACCATAACTGGATAGTTGAAAAACCACACAGCTGTCAACGTGGCGTAGACCATGCAATTTGTAAATCATTTGCAAATTGTTTATTCGAAATGAAGTTTAGTCACTAAGTGGTTTTGAAAGATGATGTTTAGCGTCTGATGCCACATCACCTTTAAATTTTAGACTCAAGCCCCTTTTAGAAACTGAGTTGATGACTAGTTTTGCGTATTCTTCTCGCACATTTTTATTGACAAATCGGCTGAGGTAGCCATTTCCACCAGGCGTATCGCTTAAGCAGCCAACTTCAACTTCGACACTACCTGTATATTCGATAACAAAACGAGTGAATAAGACTTCCTTTTCTCGTGATCGGTACTCAACTGTAGAAGTTAGTACGCTGTCTATTCCAAGTGAATTTTCTGTAGATGGATTTCCACAGCGTTCCATTACTGTGCCTCGTACACAGAACGTCGAGAAAAGGAACAGCTGATACCGATTCCTTATCTAAATGAAATCTAATGCTGAATGACAGTTGTTGTACACATACTTAATGTCACCTAGATCGATAACATCATCACAAATAACAAATATGCCATCCATATATCTTTTGTAGATGTCAGAGTGACTAGTTGTTTGACTAAATGTGAAATTTTTCAATTTTGACATAAGACAATCTGCTATCAGTGGTCCCAATAGTGTTGCCACCGCAACCCCATCATTTTGTTGACATATCGCATTACTAAAACTAAATTCCACATAAAAAATAAATCTCATCAAGAGCTGTTTTAGGCGGTTTGTTTGAATTCTTACTTTGATATTATTAGGATCGATATAGCAGCATACGTAATAGAGTTTTAGCGAGTGGCACACTGGTGAATGATAAGGTAACACTCAGTGAAAACATAACTTTGTGGGAAGTGTCAACATCCTTAATACCACCAATAAATTGAAATGTATACCGAATAGAATAATGGGATACTTGCCTTCTTTCGAGATCTACGTCATCAACTTACAACATTATTATTATAACCATTCTTTTATAAAGCAGTAATCGAAGGTGGATGGTAGGAATTATCATGCCTATAAACAGGAATGAAAAGCATTAGCTTATTGGATTAAAAACGCAGATTTCCACTAATGGATAGCTGGTGCGAACTCCATTCGCATTAAAAAGGTTGAGACAGTCACATATAATCTTACCTGTTTTCGCACAAGGAATATGACACAATGAAACGAAGCGGTATAGCATATTTGAACAATTCCGTAACCGTAACATACTTAGCCAGACAGATAAAATCAATATAGAATCTCATATATTACTGCATCGGTTCAAATTGACGCACTCCATAAAAAAAAGATTGACAATATTAAAGTACACAAATGTATATGTAAGGAGAGAAAATTTGTAAATCTACTTTTGACACTCATGCTCCACAGTTGTGTGACAAAACAGAATGGACTATAGAGCAATATACTCGTCCATTAGCAGGTGTTCGAAAATGTTGCTGACATCAGAGACCGTGTAATTGGGTGAATGATAAACAGGCCTTCTGGATCCCAGCTGAGATTTTGTTACCAACTAGTCCGTTCGGGCTGATGCGAATACCAAAGTAAGCGAAGTGGTCATTCTATCCCAAAACTTCAATCCCTATCCTTAAACCGTGAGTGGTTGCAGACGGTCCTGGAACATTATCTTACAATTGAAAGGTGCAAATCACATGCTGCTCAAGACAGTCAGAAGACCCTCCTTCGAATAACTGTAAAAAGATTAAAAATACTTCAAACACCTATATCAATATGATACCCACTGTAATATTACCAACGTTTTTATGATCTCACCTGGATTAACTGATACTGAAGTTGTAGAACAGGATTGTAAAGCACAGTCCACATTTGGTGCTTCATTGGGTACATAAACTGAGGCTTCATTAATGTGTCCATCTGGATACTGATTGTTTTCAGTCTGATATTTTTTCACAAGATAAACTGCAGTAGTTGAATAAACAAGAGCAGGAAAAAGAGGTTGTTGTCGTTCATGTGCCATTTCTACTAGCATTCTCAACGGTCCATGGGGACATAAAACAGCCAACATATCTGAAGGGAAAAGAATACATTAACAAAAGGAAAATAGCGTGAAAAGTAAACATGAACTTTTTAACACAGAAACAGAAGAATAAAATATAATGTATGCAACATAATAGCTATGCGCGGATTCTTAAATCAGACTGCGAACAGAAACATGAGGCAAAATAATTGTACATTAAGTTCAAAACACATAGAGAAGAAAAGAACCTAACCAATCTCGTACAGTCTCAAACGAACTGCAAAGGATAGATAAATAAACATGAGTAACATGAGATATGGCATAATTATGTATGCGTCCAAGTTGCCACAGTTCATATTAGCATATCAAAGACCCCTAACTACTATATATACTCGAAAGTAGTCAGTGTAGTTTATCACCTAGTTACGGAGCTGTGGCTCACCGGTTTTAAACAATGAGTCACGGGTCCAAGTTCCACTTCACCTACTGAGGGTTTGGGCAACCAGGAACCATCATTGACGTCACGCAATACGCGTAGCTTACTGCCTGCCCCACGAATATGCACAAGGTTGCTTGAGTGCATTTCGATTTTTCATCACCTAGTGTATAAACTTGTAAGTAGTTGCTAAGTGGTTAGTTTAAACATTAGCTTGTGTAGATTTGGGAATTATTCTCCTAAAACAGGGCATCCATTTACAATACAACCTATTTTCCGATTCAAAAATGTAAATCAGTATATAATAAGAACAATTTAAGAATAACTAACCCCAGACACTTAAAGCTGCAAGAACAAGCCAACATGTCCACTTCGGTAAATACTTTAAAAACATTAGTGCAATCTGTGCAGATATGAATATCAGATAAGCTTGTTGTAAGATTAATGGTCCACGCCAATGAATAACTATCATGCCGACGACACCGAAATTCCATAAAGCAAATGCCACTGTGATATGATCAACAAATACACCCATAGCACGAAGAACTTCACTACAATAAAACAATGATTCAAAAAATAAATTTATAAAATTTGACAGGGAGAGAAATGAACAAAACAAATATGAGGAACTTTAAATTGATTTTCATTATGAATGGAAAGAAATGAAAAAACAAAACGCACTCAGCAACCTTGTGCACATCCGTGCAGTAGGCTATGAACCACACCTATTGTGTGAGGACTAAAGAAACTACCTAGCTGCCCAAACTTCGGTAAGTGGAGCAGTGTCCGAACACATGACCCACTGGTTGAAAGTCAACTGTATATACAAATAAGCCACAGCTCCATATTATAAGTTGAAATCAGTGAGGCGGTCGTTGAAATTAACGGAGCAATGGACAATTAACTCGATTCGTTGCCAGATTTTATGAATCATGAGAGACAGGGTTCAGTGCCTTTGGGTTTCACGGCACATAAGTTAAACATCGTTTGGTCATTACACTGGAATCCAGGGGTTCATATTTCCCAAATTATTTCACTACAAAGAGAAATAAAGTAGCTTATGCACTCTATGATCTTATAACCATCTTGGCTATACTATTTTTTACCCACTCAATGAAAGTATCTCCAGGCGTTAACCTGTCACTAACATTAATTCAATAGTTAGATATTGGCTAAGATCTAAATATGCATGATAAATGTGGACAAGTGAGTTTAGCAAACATCTTCAATCTTGCTATTATCATGATTAGGATGCCAGGAAATACCTTTAGGGAAACACTTAGTTTAATGCTTACTCTAAGATAATGTGAAAATCCTGCAAAGAACAGGTTCAAAAGCTGCAAGAGGATTTATAGAAGCATAGTATTCCAAAGAAAGGTTAATCAACTGACGCATAGAAATAGCCCCAATCTATAATCTGCTTGAGAAGAAATATAGACTTCCATAAACCAAAGTTAAGTTGACCAAACAAAACAATAATGAAGCACAGTGTGACGGTAACAAATGGAGCAATCTCACTCTAACGAGAATTCCCTACCAGCGTGATCAAATGAAATTCAAGATTAAAGAGGTCAAGGTGACAGAAATTCCTTCCCCAACTTACAAGTGGACAACACGCAGCGTCAGCAAAAACACTACATAAACATTCATATGACGCTTAAATATGGTTCACTTTCCTATGAAGTTAGTGCTGAGAAAGTCACCAACACTGATGGTGAAACTTTCACGACAAAGTATCTACGCTAAGAGAATGCCAAACCACCATCATATCCATCCTGAGCTATAAATATTTTCTATCATTTCGGAATGAAGAATCTGTACCAAAACCTAGATAAGATGAATGGATAACAGAAATCGTGCACAACAATTCAAAACTGACCATTGAACAAACATAGACCAAACTACAATCACATTATAAGCACATTATAAACAGATGGACAAAAATATACTCAAAGAAAGAAACTACTTACACTTACCTGAAAAACATAAATGATATTAAGAAAAGAAGAAAAAATGTTGTCATAACCAACCAACCCTTAATAAACTGAAAAATAAAAATGAAAATGGAAATTATTCATAAAATACATCAGAATTAACAAAATAACAAGGATATGTAAATGACCCAAGTTATAAAGTTTCTTACGCCTTGCTCCTAGAGGCACAACTTTCTGTTTATATTCTGAATAAACTAATTTTTCTACACCGATACTGCACTGTTAAAACATACGATACCAAATGCATACTGAATGGCTTCACAAGAAATTGTCGAGCGGATCGTGAACAAATTTCTGTACATTAAAGGTGTTACGGATAAAACGAAAGAAAAGACCAGCAAATCGATGAACAAGTGATGTCTTACCATTATTTTTGAGAAAAAAAGTTAATTGTATAGGTTGTTTGTCTGGTGAGGTACCTGATGATGGACAGTGCGAAAGAACTGTAACACTTACTAAATAATAAACTATCTTTGGATCACACTGATTAAGTAAGCAAATGCATGTTGATGAGTTCGTCTACATTCAATTTACTATAAATCAAGGTTAAACAAAATGATCAAAGCTATTACTCATCGGAAACAGATATCATAATCACCAGTAGACATACCAGAATTCTGTAAACTATAGGTTTAATCAATTAATCGGAAATCTAAAGGAGTATTCATTGCTTTTGAAAAGGTATTGAAACGCTATGATACTTTATCGAAACAAACTCAGTCTCAGGATATCAAAAGAAAGGAAATTCAAGTCGGTAAACAATCACCATTAAACTTGAAATAAAACTTGGTTTACACCACAGTTATTCAGTAGCTGAAAGAAATTTTACAGCACATAGCGTAGTCATAGTTCATTGGTCCGAGTATTCGATCCTCAGTCAGTAGATCACAGTTTCGAGAACTCCTTCAACTGCCAGGGGTAAAAACAGTAGTCTCTATATTATAAATGAAGCTTATAACCTGATACATGAACCTATTGATGATAGTTGAATTACACTGTTATAACTTCCCAAAACTAAGTGAAGCAATCTCAGCAGTTTAGATATAATTACTGTGCTTCTGTTCAAAGCTTAGTGTATATAATTTGGCATGGAAAACTGATACTGTATCTTACGAGTGTAATTAGAGTACTTGGTGAAAAAGACCATCTTCGACCCCCTTATTCAGAATCATCATACAAATTCACTGAAAATATAGACTAAACTCTTCATTTCTGTTACCTTATAACAATGATATTTGAACAGTAGGACAAGAATACAAGTCATCACCACGACTATGCTCATAAATATTAAGGTATTAGCTATTGTCTGCCATGTTTGTGTACCAATGTCAGCATCCGGTGTATGAAAAGGTGTATATATCAAATACTGATCTGTATGTCCATAAAAGTCAACTGTTGAAGCAACAGCAACAACGAACAACATACATATTGTAACTGGTATAAATAAACTAAAATAAAAATAACAAAAAATAAGTAATTATTTAATCTAGCGAAGATTTTCTTTCTATTCAACTGAAAAATACTTTTAGAAGCAGTACTTACCATGAACTAAGCTTAACCTAAGAAATCCTAAACACCAAAAGTCACCGACAAACTATTGCATTTCATGGTGTATCACTGGACAATTAAAATCTCCTAGTAAGAGTGTGTTTCCAATTAAATTGCAGCACCTCTCATTTTATGTTGCAACCTAGGCATCTATTTTTTCATGCAATTTAGTTCATCCTACATTACAGTTTCTCAAAGGAACTTCATGAATGGATGAACTAACAATTTCAAAAGGATTCACAGGTTTCAAGGTATATTTCACTCAAGACTTACAAAAATATACGATATAAATGTTTGCAGAACTTGAAAAGGAAACTTCCATCTTTTTCTTTTTAGAAATCTACTTATTTCAACACACAACAATTTAGATTACTTTACCAGTTAATACATGAATATAAGGAGCATAATTATTACACTTCATCTTGTTCTTTAACAAGCATGCCGCAAAGGATAAGTTCTAAATTATTTTCGCTGAAAACAATAAATTCAGGAAATTTTTATGTGAATGCCACAAAACCGAAGATGACTGAAAACAAACTGAATGAAATTTATTCTATAGTAAAACTAACACTTTATAGAGCAATGATCTATGCAAGTGTCGTCTCAAGATGCAAACTGGTGTCCAAGTGGTTACATACTAGCTCCAATAACTCAAGTATTATGTGACTGATTGGATCAAGAGCGAAAGGACCAAAATGAGAGGCTAGTGTGGCGAAGTATCAGTCAATTGCAAGACAACCTGGCAAAACACTCACTAACTGAAGACAAAGTGAGATCTAGTCACAAGTCTAGTTTGATAACTTAGTAGTTATAAGATCAAAGATTTAACAAACCGGAAGTTGACAGTTTAAATCCATTTTCGACCTATATTCCCATCCAATTTTATTTCATATAGCATGCATACAATATCTGTCTTTCAACCAAAATACCTAGGATAATTTAATTAACAAACCTGCATTTACTTAATATCGCTGTTATCAATACTAAACTGAAGTAAATTTCTTTTGACTTTTAAATATGCCACCTAAAGAAAAACCCGAATTGAATAGTATACTTTACAAGCACTATTTGGCAACAAACTTATCAGTGACTAAATTACATATAAAGCAGAAAACGACTACCAATAAAAGATGTGTCAGTTGAAACCGATTGCGAGGATATGCTGACAGTATAATGAACACAAAACTTTTACGGTCATTAGTTAAACGATTTGTAAGTTCACCCATAGTAAAAGCAAATATGAGATATGTTAAGTGCTGTAAAGAAAATTTCAGTGTTTCATTTTCTTATAGTTGATATACGTTATACTTAATTAAGTAAGCAAATTCCCACTTAAAGTTGACTCGTAGGTCCTAATAAATGGATATCTAGAAATGTTACATTGAACTGTGTTAGCTGTCCTTTAAAACTATAGTTGGGATAAATACCTATATTCCTAGGTCAAAGTAAACTTCATATGTTGGGCTCAAATGTACATATAAGAATTTATATGAACTGTAACCAAGATTTGACCGAATAGTAACGCAAATATTGAGTGTTGAGTAAAAGGTTGACATTACACATAGTTTGTATTAGTGTAAGTCACAGCGTGTTTGTAAGAAATTTGATGCATGGGAAAATTCAAACAGCACTCACCGTACCAGATGTTATATGTCCACAATAAGACTTAATACATCTAAATGCGATGCGATGGTCGCATACTCGTTCCAGCATGCAAACTAAATAAATTTAACCATCTGGTTTAACTTCCTGGCTTTAATTTGATAGGTTACCGATTAGAAACGTGCCTTACTGAACGTAGATTCCAGCAGCCAGGTAATATCAACGGCTGTCCAACATGCGTGGAACATAAGCTAGTAAATAAACCTGTATGTAGTAATTAAATTAAATTTCTTTACATTTTTTAAAGATTTAATGCAATCAGTGCTTAGCCGTAGAAATAAGATTTATCAGGCACACAAGTCAGTAATTCATTGTAAAGTATTCCACACAAACAAAAAGACAGTTTTCAAAATTTTAAAAATGAATAAGAAACGGACATTGATATGTCCCGCAGCTTAATCGCCTAATAGCTTAAAGAATATAAAAACGCTACCCATCAGTAAGAATACAGAGCTTGTAACTGATTTCAGTGTACATACGCAGTAACCACTAGTTTTCATTAAGCCAAAAGTGAAATTTTTCCCCATGCAACCTAAATTAACTACAAATGAAGTTCTCTCCGCATAATATCCAGACAAGGTGCACATCAGCATATCATTGTTCAAGTAACTGAACTGTTACATCGGTGATGAAAACTACAGTTGGGTGTTGAATCGATCGTTGTTCAGGATAAACAAAAACGTATGGTCAATAACGTCGCTAACAGAAAACGTTGTCATTCTTCACTCAATATTCTCCAAGTTAGCAAATATACTAAAATAAAATGCATGTGGCTTAGTGATCATTATTTTCCTCATCAAGTTGATTTTTATGAGGTTGTCTAGCTGTATTATAGTACATTAATGGTTGAAACTTGGAATCAAGAACATCTTTCGTCATTGCACATTATCAATAAACATTTTTTTAAACAAATAATTCACCTGATTATCTGTTTCGCTCCATAAGAAAGCATTTGGTCAGGATTGAGAGAAGTGAGCGAGTCATTAGATGAAAAGTTGTTATTTAGCAACCGATTACGAACAACTGAGTCAGATACAGGAACATCACTACCTGGAAGTTGTCCAGGATGCTTGTTCAACCGTCCAAGAGGTTGTGACGACGACTGATGGGCTGACATTTAAGTGTGAATTGAAGTACAATACGTTTGTCCGTATTAAAATAGGTCTAAAGATATAAAAAAAGACTAGAATGAAACATAACTCAGCAACCTTGGGATATAGCCCATACTTAATATATGAGAGTTGATGATGCTGTGATCCATGAAGTTCAGGCGTATAACTTACCAGTAGAAGACTAGATGCTTAAATCGTAGTCCATGCACTTAAACATACTGATACGTATCGGTAGTAAAAAATCACAGCTGATTGTAAGAAGGAAGACCTTTTTAAATAGGGTGACATTGAATACAAAGGATTATATTTCGAAATACTTATTACCAGATGATGTTCCAAAGTCATCTCTAAATGATGTAATAAGGAGCTTTTGTTCGAATTATGAAAACGCTACTATAGCATATATTTAACGGTTGGATATACTTTATGTGTGAAAGCTGTTTTACAAATGCTTTGTTCTAGTACTTTATTCCTTAGAGCCTAAAATGTCTAGAAATAAGTAAGGGTAGAAGAAGAATCAAAACCAACCTGCTTAAGAGTTTTGGTCACGGCTAGTTTCCGAAAGTATACCCCTGTCCTTGTATCCACAAAGATATGCTTACTGTATGCTACACAAATCTATTCGCAAACAGATAAAGAGGTATGAAATCTAAGGCAGAAAACGTAACACTAATAAAACAGTCAACGAAGTACAGTAAACTGTGAAGTCATAAAGTCATACAGAAATTAGCCCTGATGTGAAACAGTTTAAATTGAAATACTTCGCAATAACACGAAAAGTGATTGCACAGAAAAATAAAGGTAAGGTGAACACTAACCATATGATGCGATGGTAAATACATAAATGAACGTTAACAGTGTCCAGAATTTTTGTGATAAAGTTAATACACCTGCACCACTGATAATGATTTTGAGCCAAGTTTTTACAACAGTTCAAAAGGAAGATGTAGAATTCAGTTAGTGTGATTTAAACGATTATAATAATTATCTTGAAAAATATTTTACTCATACCTAATCTTATAATACCGTCTGGTAACTATTTTTACGAGCTTCCTTTCGATATCTAAATTGCTGTTTTACACCATGCTGCTCAAAACTAAGAGTCGGTTGAAAATTAAGCCCCTCCCTAATTTTCTAGCTCGAATGGCTTTGCGGTAAATTGTACATTGTGTGATGAGGACTTATTAATCATACGGATGAATGCATGAGGTGTAATTCATGAATGCATTGCTAGTGAAAGAGTTTGGAGTATACCTTTGTGAATTTGACTCAGCTAATGAATCACTGTGAAGTAATTAGAGTCAGTACAGATAATGTTACTGAATCATATACGAAGCTGTAACTGCGACGGTGTAAAAAGATATATTTTCCGTTACAAACCGAATCACGTGATGAAATCTAAAAAGCTTATTTGCCACTATAATATTTGTCACTGACGGTCAATAATCTACAAAGTTACTTTCACGTTGGTCGACGCCAGAAAGTGAAGCCTTTCTGGTGGAAAGGATTACAATTATGTTACCTTTCCTACTTAGAACTCCTGTTATTTCCGTTTCCTTGATTCGTTAAATTTGTCCATCTTGTTGGCTTTTTTTAGTTTCATTGTGTTCATTGTGTCTTACCGTGATGCATCTCAAAATGGGGCAAGTTAAAACACAGGTCCAATGCAGTGTTTTTTTTTCATATTTGCTACTTTGGCTTTATTTCTCATTCTGAAATGCCGGTATCTGGCATTCGACCAATGGCCTGCATTATCTTGATTAGAATCTATGTTTGATCTCTATTGAGAGAAATGAGACTTTTAAAAGACAAGGTTTCTTTGCTCCTAAAACCAGCTTTATGGTTTTTACACTATTTTCCTGCTAGTCCATCGAACACTGACGAACTTCATTATACGCAAACAATGAAGGCACAAGCGAAATGCTCCAAACACTACTTCAACATTCGATACCAAATCGAGTAGTTGTACACTCCTCAACACCAGGTATACATTACAAAACGGGAAACAAACTTATGCCGCATTGTTGACGTGTTTGCATTAAGTAACCACACATGGTTGGAAAGTTAAAAATGGGTTGGGAATGCAAGATATATTCTGTTATTAACTAAGTGCATTCTGTATGAAGCACTATTATCCCGCAGCTTGAAAAGACTCAAATAAAGTGATGCGAGAAAAGCTAAGTAGATGCAAAAACAAAAACTATCCATATTTTTCCTTTCTACGCCACTAATTAGATTGAAAATTCTGTATGCATCTGGGGCGAAAACAAAAATATATTCACACATTACTACCTCGCCTAAGATATCTATACATTTAATGACACAATGACCACGTACTTTTAAGCCGCACAAATAGTAAAACATGAAAATTTGTGGTCACTTCCAATTTGTGGATAAGAAATAAAATAATTTTCTGAAAAAGTAATAGCCATGCAAAGTAAAAAGCGAACACTCCAAGACAAACTAATAGTTGCGGCAAAATAAAAGAATGATGAAAAGCAAAAGACGAAGGAAGGAAGAAGTATCAGCAATCCGGATAAATCTAGTCGTGTAAACAAGGAGATGAAAATCGTTCTTTGATATTAACTGCATCGCTTGCTTCTGGAGTACCGCGGTAGTTGGCAACACTCCACCAATTTCCTTACGTCACAACAAGCTTCGAACTTTGGGGTTTATCCACGGAGAACAATGACCTCATCCCTTCAGGACAGTTTACGCAATGAACGGTTGAGTAACTCGTGCATTTTTGGAGGAACAACATGCACCCTCAACTGGGGCTTCCAAATCAACTGCCTAATCTTCCGAAAACGCTGTCAAGTTAATACCTGCTTTATTCACTTTTGATACATTGGGTCTAGCACGGTATCAACCTGGCACAAGACGGCTGCTAGCAACCTAAAGATGATAACAGCGTGAGCCCATTTTTATCAAGAGATCCAAGGCACTGGATGAAGCTTACATCATCTGTGAGCGAGAATACCAAGCCTAGGACTGATAGAGCATGCTGATGATAGTATTTGGTTACTGCCATAATGTGTTGTATAAGCCCAGGAGATCGACGTTTCCACTCACCTATGATCAGACGATGCTTCTGTTGTCAGTCTGTCCCAGTCAACAGACAGTGCATTGAGGTCTACACGTAGGCATTTGCAGTTATCTATCTAGAGGGTGAGTCTATTCAGGAAGTCTTCTGGCTCACATTCAGGGCTTTTATTTACTGTGATTAGGTTAACATCTTGTTCCTAATATTTAAGTTGGCGGTGCAGCATTCCACATGTCCCACTTTCGTGTGCAACTGTTCCTATGGCTCTTACAGTTAAAGTATTCTTAACGTAAGGGATAACATCGTCCCCTCTGCAAGTTAACCTAACACTTATAAAACGAACGACTTCTCTTAAACGTGTTTCATTGTCACTGATCTTAGAAGACATTCAAGTTCCTGAGATAGCAATAATGCCACGGCTTCCTATGCTTACTATTTACTAAGCTCCATTCGCTCATTTAGCAGATTACGTGCATTTGTGTACAAAATGATAAAACCACTTAAATGAGTTTTCATCCTATTAACATAGGCTTCAGCACAATTTGTTGCCGAAGTCTCACAGCACGAAGACCTACCACTTTTAGATCTCTCTTTCATGTTGCTAATATGCACTGCAGTCCTTCTCCAACTTCTCACTTCTTTTGATTCGATCAGGAAGAGACAAGTTCTTACGCACGAACACTCGAGTTTCTTTAAGTTTGTGAGCGTTATTCAGAATATGAACCCTCTTCTCTGTTGATTTGAACATGACCTTGATTGCCCAAAAGAAAACCTGTTTTTGGCAAGGATAGGTTCTTTTTTCGCCTTTGAGTACGGTGACCTCTGACACGTTTTCCAGTAGCCGCTTGTTTACTTAACTCCGTACCCTACGAAAGTTATGTTTGATACGGTTACGTGGTTCTGAATTCCTACTTTTTTTCACTCTGTAGATGATTAAAGACCTTTCAAATAGCTTTGCTTTACCTTTGCTCTGTGGAGTGTTGACAGTTGGTACTATGCCTGCTATTGGCTTTTAGTGTGTCACTTAGTCTTAATTACTTGCTATCTCTCAGGGTCGGGTGTGGAAAACTGATTAAGGTCTACCTCAGTAATCTCGAGAACTTCAGAAAGCATCTTTATTCCCTTATGTGCACTCGTCATCGCTGGACTGGATGGCCAGCATAGTTCCTTAGTTGGCACTAAAAGTACTCCACCTTCGTCCATTTTATCGAAAGTTGACCAGTAATCAGTGGTTTCCAAACTAGGTGTCGTAGCTCTGGAGGTGTAAGAATCTGGAGAAACTTGCTTCATCTTGCTTTGAGCAACGTTTTCCAAGCCGTCATCCAAAAACCTTGTAGGTAGCCTACGCGCCCCCCCCCCCCTATATCGTGGAACATTCCTGATGTGCCACACACAGAACTGTATCACGGAATGCCATTTTATTATTGCTATCACAATTACTAACCTCCCTTTCGGATACCAGCTACTTCGTGATGGTATTTAGAAGTATTATCGCTTCTACCAGCATGAAAACATCTAATCTGCAAGCTAGGCAAAGTCAGACACTCCCTGCATTATCGTACTTGTCACACGCTGAGGGTGTAAGGGCTGTGCAATCAATGTAATACTATCACAATCAGATCACTGCACACCCGAGGCCACTGTGAAGTTGAACCACGGCCTTCCAAGTGCATCTTTGCAAACACTATTGGTCAACCTTCTTGCAAAAGGCTTAAGACAAACTTTTTAAACGAAGCAACACTTGATTGGGAAAATGAAAAACTGTCAGAAAGCATCTCAAAATGTATCAGGAAAACTGCTTGGACCAGAAAAAAACCAACTATCAACTTCTCAACCAGCAAACACTTTGGGCGCACATTGAGATTTTCGGGCAAAAACGGCACAAAAAAACTTAGGATTACTGTCGACAATGCATCGTCACGAACAAAATTGTCAAAGTGTACCCAAAATTCCACAAATAAGGCATCATGACAGGCAGCAAGTAGGGTGTGTGAATACAATTTCTGTGTGGATGCTTAATTGCAGTATACGAGATCTGTAACTGTTTATTAACTTCTTAAAGACTGTAATCTTGCGAAATACAATTTATTTTGGAGGCGTTCCAGAAGCTGATTTCGCAAAATTACCAGAAAATGTCAATGTACCCAAAGTGTTTGGCGGCTGGAGCCTGCATGCATGAACAGCAAAAATAGCAAAAAAACGACTAAACGTGAATGTCATTCCAAGAAAGCACAAGGGATTTATCTACATTTAGTAACGAAACAAGCTGTATTATGTAAAGAGATGAGAGTTTAAAAACCAAAACAGGAAACTGAGTGAGTCAGGCTTCAAATGAGTCACAAAGTGCTAATGTTGCGCAACAAGCCTAGATTGCGGTATGAAGACCAATGTCCAATATGTAACATCTTACGAGTTTGTGTAGACTAACAGATACCCTCGCGCCCCTTCTTAAGTTTTTTGGAATATTTCCAGGCCTTTGGTGAATTCCAATGCACCATGCAAGCATACTCACATGCTATAGCTGTGATATGCCCGATGAGCGGTTGGGTGTTAATGAAGTTTGCACGGATCGTTGGATTGGTCTAACAACTGCGGTGCAGACGAGTTCTTCAAGTGCAGCATCACTAGATGGTTGTAAAATGAAAACAGAACACATGAAATGATGTCCAGTGAAAACAAGGGAAAGGAACTGGGGAAATGAGCAGAAAAGAAGAACGAAAAGAAAGGAGAAACGTAGGTAAACTGAGGGAAGGCAGGAAACAGAACTGTAATGGGAGGACCTCCTGATAAACATGGTGAAATCACAGAGTCAGAGGGTGGAGAAGGAGAAGGAATGGGTAATATTGTAGGGAGGATGACGAAAATAAAACCTGTGACCATGTAGCTGTTGAGGCGTCCAACGAGGAAGTACATGGTTGAGCCAAGTTCACGACATCAGCAACAGTATAAAGATTCAGTGTTGCTGGCTGTTCTAGAACACTGAGGAATTACTTGGTCGCAGCTACCTTATCCTTATGCTAGCTAGATGACCCCAAGCTAAGCATAGCTGTCCGACCTCTTCTTGAAGCTGTCGATAGACAGAACAGCACCTATTTTGGAAGACAACACTTTCCAGTGGCCGAAAAGTCGTAGACAGGGGAGGTGTGTGGCTGGTGATGTTTCTCCAGTTTCCACGAGGATTACTACAATGGCCGTTCAGTAGGATTTCACTGCTCGGACGGCTTGGATTACTAAGTATTTTGTAAGCTGTTATCAGG